GGACTAGCCTCCAAAGCAGCAAACTGCAGAAAGTCTTGTAAAAGATGGGACTCATGGAAGGAAGAGAGAGGAAAAAGTGACTTCTTCTGTAAAGAGAAGATCAGGAAGCATTGGTGAGGGTTGGGAAGGGGGAGAATGAGAAGAATTATCATGTGGCTCGGTGAGTTATGGATGTGCTGAGAGTGAGCTCAGAGTTTCCAGGGTGAATATATTGCTCCAGGGGAACTTCCAGGGAAATATGTGCAAAGGGAAAAAAAAAAAAAGGCATTGGCTCTGAAGTTAGAAAGCCTGAGTTTGAGTCCCATTTAAGACACAGGTCACCTACATCACCTTGAACCAGATATTAAACATCTCTGAGCCCATTTCCTTATCTGTAAAATGGAACTAGTGAAACCTATAAACACAGATGTTTTACATGAGTTGAAAGAAATAAATAAATGCTTGCCAAGAGGGCCATGGCACTGGGAGATAGCTTCAGCACTGTTCTCTCTTAGGAATTCTCTCAAAGTGAAGGAACTCATTCCTCCCCACTTCATAGCCTAAGACATTGACTTAGTGATGGTCCAGAAACCCTCACTGATTTATCATCAGAATTTCCACTACCAAGATATCTCCATGAAATACTTTTGAATAGCAGAGAAGCTCCGGAAGTGAAAAACACGAGTGCGGGTCTGTATGGGCAGAAGGAAGTATGGAAGGTCAGGCCAGAGAAGGAGTGCTCTGGATACAAGGGAGAGAGAACCAGAGGCTAACAATCTGGTTCTAGTTCTGATTCCATCACTTACTGTTTATGTGAACTTGGTGCAGATCACCTTGAAGAAACTGAGGCTTGTGCAGTTCATAAATAGAGGAAAATACTTTTCCTACTACTCTAATGTGGTTGTGAGAAATAAAACACATATGATAAAGACATAAAATTGTTCTCTAAGCTCAAGTTGCCACATTATCCTGTAGGTGTCAGGTTTGAGGAAATGGAAAGGGTGGCCCCAGGATCATGGGATTCAGTCAGTATATGCTACCTCCCTATGACTAGAATAAGAATTGCTTCGGACACAAGAGTTCTGCCACCACACCTACTCGTCACTGCACACAATTCCCTTTTGAGTTCTCTACAAACCAGAATTTTCTGGTTCCTGTGCTAACCTTGGCCTATTTTAGAAAGCTTAGACTGACCTCTCTCACAAAGCTTCTGTAATTTGGGAGAAGAAATTTGGGGTTTGACCTGATGCTGACATCCTAGCCAAGCCGGAGACCAGAGCCCACCCCATCAGAGGGTGAGCATGATGGAAATGATTTTCCTTTTCAGGTGTGGTTTTGCCATGTGACCCTGGGGTATTCTAGACAGGTGCCAGGGCTGAAGTGAGAGAGCAAAAGGACAGTGAAAACCATCAGAAGAACGAGTGAGCATCCAGTCAAATTGACATGACAATGAACAGACATTGGTGGCAATATTGTGCCACTAAAATTATACCTCAACCTATATACTTAGCTCTGGACCTCAGGGAGAATGACAGCCAGCTCAATTGATCGAAAAAAGAATTTGGGTCTCAAAGTCTGGCTGCTGCCTTGCTGTGATATCATTAGGAGTCAAAAGGGATTTGGAGCAAGCAGTCTGAAAGCAGACTCTGGGGGTGAGGGATATCTCTGTGCCGGGGAGGTCACCACAGCAGGAAAGAGACAGAAGAGGGAGAGAGAGCCACAAGGTTTCCCACCCTCCTTATCCCTGCCTACCCCTGCACCTTCTCACCATAAGTAGAGAAAGAAATGATCTATTCATTTTTTTGTAAGTAATCTCTACACCCAATGTGGGTCTTGAACTCATGACCCCAAGATCAAGAGCTGCATGCTCTTCCAACTGAGCCAGCCAGATGCCCCAGAAATGATCTCTTTAAGGTATAAGAACATAGAGTGGGAAGAGGAGGGCAAAGAACTGAGGTATGCAAAGTGATCTCTTTCCTTTTCTGAATTTCTTTGGAATTCAACGTTTGGACCAGAAAATCAGCCTTTATGTTGTTAGATCTCTTTTTCTATGGAATATCTTTTCTCCTAGACTAAATGGCATGCTCTCTGTGTTATATCTCTCCCAGTTCCCACATAATAGATAGTTCAAGGGTTTGGTTGATGGAAGTGGTTGTATGTGTTCTCCCAGGAGGGCTAGTCTTGAAGAGAAGATTGTGGCAGGGATACCACCTGTTTCCATCACAAAGTCCTGAAAGTGACTCAGCCTAACAGCCAGTCTGGTTGCTCCCAATAAGAGAGAAAAAGAGAGAGAGAGAAACAGAGAGAGAAAGGCTCTATTTACCGAGACCCTGATCACCTCCCACCTGCCTCAGCCAAGCTTGTCCACACTGGCTGCTCCTGTCTCTCAGTCTTTTGGAGAGAGAAAAGAGCACGGGAAATGTCACATCTATGGTTTGGAACTTTGCAGACATTTTCTTGGGGCTACTGTGAGAGAATTGTTCTTCAGATCCACCTTTTTTAAACGAAGTATACCGAAAGTTCTGAGGGATGTTTGCTCCTCAAACATTAATGAATGCTAAAATGGATTTTGTGGTCCATATTGAGAAGGCAAATTTCCCACTTTTGGAGCCTCACAGTGAGGTTGGGGAGTCTGTACATATCAGTGGGTGGGGCAGGCTGTCAGTTCTACTAAAGCTCCAAGCAGGATGGGGTTGTTCAAGACTGGACTGGTCCAAGAAAACTTCATAGAGCCTGAAATGGACCTTGAAGCAAAGGCCAAACTTGACCAACTAAAAAACAAAATATATTGGAGCATGGTGAATGAATTCATTTTAGCTAAAGCATGTTTCGTTGGTCATATAAAGTTGGAAAAGGTTTTGGAAAGCCTTGAATTCCAGATTTACAGTTTGCATTTTAGTCAGTAAGCACTAAGAAGCCATTAAATATTTTTGAGCAACGGTATGAATATGTAAAAGAATTTTATAAAGACTATCTGGTGGTAGTGGAGAGTATGTTGGGGGTTGGGGGCTAATTGGGAAAAGTACAATAGTCCCTAAAGATTAGTGGACTATTGAGCGTCCAACTAAAGTGTTAGCAGTGAGAAGGGGAAACACAGTACTCAATTCTGTGAACTTCTGTCTTGGAACACCATTTGCATGTTGTCGGTCTGATTTAAAAATATCTGGGAAAAGGGGCACCTGGGTGGCTCTGTTGGTTAAGCATCTGACTCTTGAATTCAGCTCAGGTCATGATCTCATGGTCTGAGTCCCTCTCTCTACCCCATCCCACCTCCCTCCCCCTCCTCTATCTCTCTCTCTCAAAACAAACAAACAAACAAACAAACAGACAAACAAACAAACAAACTTAAAAAATATCCGGGAATGCTTCTGATCCTTCATTTCTTTCATAGTCTCCTGACCATTTCCCCCAGGAGAGTGGAAAAGAAAACTGCACTGTTACCTGTTGACTGTCCTTAGGCAACTCTGCTCCCCTGGACCTCAATTATCTACCTTAAATCAGATAATAATTATTTTACCTGCTGGAAGGCAGAGAACTGGAACACAGAATATCTTGATGATCTTTTCAATTCTGAGTCCCTTTCTGTTTTATTTTTAATTCTTCTTTAGAACGCTCCATCTACTCTCCCCTAACAGCTATTTCATCCCAGTCTGGGAGAAACCATTTGGGGGTTCAGTCTGGGATACATACAACTTCCCCAGCATCTCTTGTTGATGTGGTTGAGTCTGGGACAGAAGGGTGTTCAGATCCAACCTGGAGGAAGAAACTGACGGAGTTCAGTGGTCATTGCCTTCCAACTAATATCATGCCTACTCTTGATACCTAAAGTAGGAAGTAGGGTCGTCACGGGCCACGAAAGGCCCTGGAGCCTCAGGCGGTACCCCCAACTCTTCCCCAGCATGACCTCTCCCCCACTCCCCCACCCCGCTTCTACCCAGTTTCTACTTCACTTCGGCTTGGGGCGCACCACCACCAAATGCCTGGGCGGTACCTCAGTTGCCCTCGATCACACCAGTTTCGGATCAGAACTGGCCCCCTCCTACACCCCAAACGTCCCGAGTTGGCGGTGGCGCCAACCTCTGGCCGCATCTCTCGCCACCCAGAGGGGCTCTCCCCTCTTCCTGGGGCTTCTCAGGGGCGGAGTCCACCTGTGCCCCGGGGGCGGGGCCTGGGCGGGGGCGGGACAGGTGGGAGTGCGGTCGCTCCCAGAGCTGGGAGAAAGAGCCGGAGCGGGAGGCGGCGGAGGAGAGGCGGGCCGGCGCGCACCTAGGGGAAGCCTGCCTGTGGGCAGAGTGTGAGAGCCGGCGAGCGGGCGAGGAGGCGGGAGGGAGGGAGGGAGGGAGGGCAGGCGGCTGCGAGCCTGCGACGAGGAGAGGAGTGGAGAGGAGAGCCGGGCGCGGAGGACACTCGGGGGAGGAGGCGCCGGCTCGGCTCGCCGAGAGAGACCTGAGAGGCGGCGCGAGGCGCCCGCGCAGCCGGAGGGATTCCTCGCGCGCGGAGCATGAGCCGGCGCCCGGCTGGAGAGCGGCCGGGGGACACGGCCTCCGCGCAGCCCTGAGACGCTGGGCAGGGGCTGGGGCTGGGCCGCCGTGCGCCGGGGGCG